GCATCATAAGACCAGGAGGAGAGTTACAGCATTCTTCTGCCTCTGTCATCTTAATATTTGTCTCTGATGTTCTCTTCTCTGAGTGTGTGTGCTGGTACCCCTGCATCAGGGTCCCTGTTTCTACTCTCAAAAGAATTAGCAGCTATTGCCAATGTCCATTTAGCTGCCAGTCTTCTGAAAGAAACATAGGAGAAAAGAATTGTATACAAAGAGTACACTTGGTCTTTCTACATTCTCTTCTGTAAACGAAATATACTACTTGGGAGGTAGAATAGTCCTTGTTTTGAATTTGAAGCCATGCTTTATTTTCCTGCTATAGAGACATATTCTGGTACTCTTTATAATAATATCTCGTGACAGTAAATAGCTCCTGATATCAAAGGGTAAAACACATTACATGACAAGCTGTGCATAGTTTACCCATAATAAAATTTATTTTCAAATGTAAATACATATATATGTATATTTTTAAATTTGGAAATACATTTAATGTGTTTGTGGAAAGTATCAAGAAAAGATATTTTGTGACAGCTTCTAGGTATACATCTCTGTAGTTTTTATTTGTCATGTTTAATTATCAGGTGCTATTTATTTAATTGAGACAAATTGTATCATCTTTTCAAAAGTTCTCTGAGGTTGTTGGCCTGCTGTAGGAATAGCAGGAAGGAATCAGAGACTCTTGGTGTGTCTTCTGGTAAAAGAGGCATCCAGCTTTCCTAAGTGCTTGGAGTATGAAAGAGTGGTGGGTTTTAGAAATCCACTTCACCCTCTCCCCTCTGCCCCCACGCACAGGGTAAGTATCTTTCATTCCTCAGGGGCCCACCTCTAGGCAGGTAGTGTCTTCTCCTTCAAGATGAATAAAACCTAGGCAGGCAGGAGAGGGAGTTCAGCGCCCTCACAGCTGCTAAAATGTGAGAGCTGAGAGCCTAGAATTGTCTTTCCCTCCTGGCCCGAAATAAGTTGTTCACCTGCCTCCGAGAAACACTGGCTTCCGCAATAATTCTCTGAGTACCCATAATAATGAAGGTGGGTACCATGGTAACTTGGATGGCAGTTTTGAAGTCCAAAATTGTTTTATATTTGAGATTTTCCTTAAAGATTTGCTATTCATTCTAGATGATTACCAAAGGGAAGTACGATTTCTTATGAATAATTTAAAATGCAGCATGTATACCACCTGGAATAGAAAAATACATGCCAAGCTAGAATTATTTTTTAACATATACTTCCATTCAATTCAAGATGTTTGTTTTGCACCTACTATATATCATAAACAATGACAGGTGCTGCCAGGACCGAAACAAGGAAAGGATGTAATCCTTGTCTCAAAGGAGTTTTTAGTGTCATAGAAGGTATGTCCATCATCTGTTGCCACAGTAATACTGTGTAAAAAATCACCCCCAAACTCAGTGGTTTAAAAACATTGTTTATGCATCTGTGGTTCATCTGGGTATTGGCTGAACCAAGCTGGCCTTGGTTGAGCTTGTCTGTAAGGTACAGATTGGAGGAAGTTCTGTCTACTTCACGGGTCTCTCATTATTATTATTATTATTATTTTACAGTTTCACTGTGCAGTGGTGTGATTTCGGCTCACTGCAACCTCCAACCTCTGCCTCCTGGGTTCAAGCAAAAATTCACATGCCTCACCCTCCTGAGTAGCTGGGATCATAGAGGTGTGCCACCACACCTGACTAATTTTTGTATTTTTAGTAGAGACAGGTTTTTGCCATTCTGGCCAGGCTGGTCTCAAACTCTTGGCCTCAAGTGATCCAGCCGCCTCAGCCTCCCAAAGTACTGGGATTATAGGCATGAGCCACTATGCCTACAAGGGGTTAGTGAGGCATGTTCTCCTCATTGTGATGGTAGAAGATTGAGAGGTCAAGCCCACTGCACAAATGGCTTTCCTCTAACATTTTCTGCCAAAGGAAGTCACATGGACAAGCCCTATGTCACTAGAATAAGGAAATATACTCTTTCTGAGGTGAACTGCAAAGTATATGGCAAAGGATATGGAGACACAGGGAGGGATGCAAAATTAGGAAAATATATAGCAGGTGCGCAAATGTCTTGAATAGAAATGCTAATATGTTAAAAATAATACAATCAACCATTAGGAAAAGATAAATTCACAAATGTCTGTATAACAAATGGTGGGGACTTCACAAGGGAAGGGATCCTATCTCAAAGACAGGAAGAAAACTTCTTAAAGGAGATGACACTTGCAGCCACTCAAGAAAGGTGTTTGTATTTCAAGAGGCTAACATGGGAGGTTGGGGCAGCACATGATTCAAAGATGCTCCATGAGCAGAGTGTGGACACACATAAGCCGTTCTCAGTGTTAGGTTATAAAGAAGTAACTGAACAGAAAAATTGCAGCAATAGAAAAAGGAAATGTGTAAGAAAACTACAAGTAGGGGGAGACTTCAGGTCTCAGAAATTTTTGTCTTGTGTGTTATTGCTGGAAGTTCTTTGAGTAGATAGTATGAGTGTTAATTTCCAGGGTATGAAATATGCAAAAGCATGTAAGCATAGAGCTTTTGTTTAAATCTTGAGAACTATAATTAGAGCTGGAAATGACTTAGAAATTGTTTAGCTCAGCTCAGTTAGTTTATAGATGAGGAAATATGTATTTTGAAGATAAATTCTCTATGTGTGGATATGTATGTATATCTCTATAGATACATACCTATACAGATAGGTCCTGATTTTACTATGGCGTAAGTATAATTTTCAGACTTTATGATGGTACAAAAGTGATACACATTCAGTAAAAACTGTACTTCGAGTACCCATACAACCATCCTGTTTTTCACCTTCAGTACAGTATTCAATAAGTCACATGAGATATTCAACACTTCATTATAAAATAGGCTTTGTGTTAAATGACTTTGTTACTGTAGGCTATTGTAAGCCTTCTGAGCACATTTAAGGTAGGCTAGGATAAGCAATGACGTTTGGCAGATTAGATGTTTTAAATGCATTTTCAACCTGGGATATTTTAAATTTATGATGGGCTTATGGCCCAAAAACCCCATGGTAAGTTGAGGAGCATCTTCATGTGTGTGGGTATATGTATGTGTGTAAAATATATAAAATATATAAATATATTAACAGAGAAAATACATTTCCTCCCAAATAAAACCATAGATGTGGTATTATTACCATATATATCCAATGTGTATATATGTATTATATCCAATGTATATTGTATATAATATCCAATGTGTATTAAGTATATATTTATATAATAAATATTATATTATATCAATGTACATTATGTAGATATAAAATTTCTATTATATTATATTGAATCTAATAATACATATATACATTGGATATATATGTAATAATACCATGTATGTGGTTATATATAATATACATTGTATTATTACCACATATATCCAATGTATATATGTATTATTATATCCAATGTATATTGTATATAATATCTAATGTGTATTATTAGGTATATTACTTATATATTATATCATATCAATGTGTATTATATAGATATAAAATTTATATTATATTGAATCTAATAATATGTACATTGGATATATATGGTAATAATACCATGTATATGGTTATATATATAATATACATTGGATATTATATATATCCAAAATCTATAATATACAATTGTATTTAGAGAGAAAGACTAAATTCTTCTTAGAATATATATTGTGTATATTGAGGAAAAGAGAGGGGAAATGAGTCTACTTCTTGAAGTGATATTCTAAAGAATTCTTAATTCCTCACAAATTTTAAAACTTCTGTGTCCTTATCAGCGATCTTTCTAGTTCCAAGGAATAGAATATGGCTCATACTATTCAAATGCATAGGGGAGGTTGTTAATAAGAAGAAAAAATAAATATGTTTCCAGTTACCCAAGGACTGGAAATGCCCTGTGTAATGCCTGATCTAGCAGAGGCTTTTCATTGGCTCCCCTAGTCTGGGGCACTGTTATCAACAGAAAGGGAAACAGGTCCTGGGAGAAGTGCGCCAGGGCAGCAGGTGTCCTCTGTGCCGACTCACTAGTCTTCCTGTCTTCTGAAATTCACTCCCCTCATTTGTAAATGCAACATAATCACCCATTTAGCCAAAATATAATTAGGAAGGTAAACCAGTTTGTGTATCTAATATATGAGGTTTCTCCAGAATAGAAACAATGAAACTTTGAAGTTGTTTCCTTTCCATAATGCCAGTTTGTGTAGACTGGAAGTTGTCAAACTATGATCTGATGGGATTTGTTCCCTGGTCTGGACAGGGACTGGTCCAGCTGGTCTGCTTTTATAAATTAGGTTTTATTAAAACAGCCACTCTCCTTTGTTTACACATTGTTCGTGGTAGCTTTTGCACAACAATGGCAGGGCTTGTCGTTGCAAGGGGGACAGAGCCCATGGCCTGCAAAGCCTCAGTATTTAATACCTGACCCTGTTCATTGCAGTCTGCCCACTCCTGGTGTAGACCACGGGGAATTGGCGCTTTCCGGAATGGGCGACTCGTGCATGTGCTTGGTCCTCTGGGATGGCATTGACAGGAGTCGGCCCAGGGAGGACATCTGTGGAATGAGAATGTTGCCCCCATGAATGTTTTCTCTAAGAAAGAAACCGGTGCTGGCCGGGCGCGGTGGCTCACGCCTGTAATATCAACCTTTTAGTAGGCCAAGGTGGGCGGATGACCTGAGGTCAGGAGTTTCAGACCAACCTGGCCAACGTGGTGAAACCTCGTCTCTACTAAAAATAGAAAAAAAAAAAAAAAACAGCCGGGCATGGTAGCGCATGCCTGTAATTCTAGCTACTCGGGAGGCTGAGTCAGGAGAATCGCTTGAACCCAGGAGGCAGAGATTGCCGTGAGCCGAGATCACGCCATTGCACTAAAGCCTGGGCGAAAGATCTTTTAAAAAAAGAAAAAGAAAAAAGAAACCGGTGCTTTTGCTGCCTCCCTGGGGCTCTGCTGAGGCCGTCATCCTTAACCCTTTGTTCTCTGTCCTTTGCCAGACTCCGACCTGAGCATGCGCACACTGAGCACGCCCAGCCCAGCCCTGATATGTCCACCGAATCTGCCAGGATTTCAGAATGGAAGGGGCTCGTCCACCTCCTCGTCCTCCATCACTGGGGAGACGGTGGCCATGGTCCACTCCCCGCCCCCGACCCGCCTCACACACCCGCTCATCCGGCTCGCCTCCAGACCCCAGAAGGAGCAGGCCAGCATAGACCGGCTCCCGGACCACTCCATGGTGCAGATCTTCTCCTTCCTGCCCACCAACCAGCTGTGCCGCTGCGCGCGCGTGTGCCGCCGCTGGTACAACCTCGCCTGGGACCCGCGGCTCTGGAGGACTATCCGCCTGACGGGCGAGACCATCAACGTGGACCGCGCCCTCAAGGTGCTGACCCGCAGACTCTGCCAGGACACCCCCAACGTGTGTCTCATGCTGGAAACCGTTACTGTCAGTGGCTGCAGGCGGCTCACAGACCGAGGGCTGTACACCATCGCCCAGTGCTGCCCCGAACTGAGGCGACTGGAAGTCTCAGGCTGTTACAATATCTCCAACGAGGCCGTCTTTGACGTGGTGTCCCTCTGCCCCAATCTGGAGCACCTGGATGTGTCAGGTAAATGGACACTGACCTACCAGCTATGGGCCCTCCTGGTGCACCATCCTACAATGCCACCACCGGAAGGTCCTCTTCTTGCAAGCCATCAGAGATGAGAGAGGGGGGTGGTAGGGAAGCTGGCTTTTGCAGAGAAACTGTCTCTATGGAATCATGACCCTGCAGGCCACAAGTTCCCCTTTCATCAAATAATGTCCACTTCTTAGAGGAGTTCTTAGGGGAATTCTAGCACATTTTGCCTGGGAGTTGAGGTTAGTATGACTTTTAAATGTCTTTACTCTTCATAACTCTCACAGTTACTTCAGAGCAACCATAAATAATGCAAACAGGGTATCTAATTGTGGAGACATAGGAAACAAAAGGCTAACTCAAGCACAGTTAGCTTAGAAACTACTCTTGTGCCCGCTTACTGTTGGTCCCTGGAGCCTGGAATCTTTGTCCAAGCTGTAAATATGACCTCATGTGTTTTCATACCATGGGCCGGACGGTGCACACTGTGGGTGGTAAAACACTCAGCTGTGGGCTGTGCTCACAATCACTTGCCATTTTGTAGTGTCTCCTTAGATTTCACCAGCATTCTCCTTACCTCTGGGTTAATCCTGCATCTTTTCTCAAGCAAATTCTCAATTACATAGTGCGAGGGCAAGGTCCATTGAATTAAATCTTTAGTCCTTTTAAAAATTGAAGGAAGTCGGGCGCAGAGGCCCACGCCTGTAATCCCAGCACTTTGGGAGGCTGAGGCATGAGGATTACTTGAAACTGGGAGTTAGAGACCAGCCTGAGCAACAAAGCGAGACCCCTCTCTCCACAAAAACCGGAAATATTAGCCGGGCACAGTGGTATGAGACTGTGGTCCCAGCTCTTCTGCTCAGAGACTAAGGCAGGAGGATTGCTTGAGCCCAGGAGTTCGAGGCTGCAGTGAACTATGATCATACCACTGCACTCCAGCCTGGAGGATAGAGTGAGACCCTGTCTCTGGAAAAAAAAAATTGAAGGAAATCCCAGCATGGCTGCTTTGCTTGGAAACCTCTCTCAGGCAGGAAGAATTAAAGCCCAGACTCACACTTAGGCGCCAGACGTGATCTGGCTGGACTAACAGCCCTTCCTTATCTCATTTGCTGCCTAGTCAAAAAATGGACATTCGAGAGGCTGAAATATGTAAGATGCATCAGGGACTTAAAAAAAAAAAAACCAACAGCACCACCAGCAACCTCAGGGAGTTTGGGGGAGGGGTCAAGAAGTAAAAACCACTATGATGGGTGAATAAACAGAATCTGGGATTTACAAGCATCTGAGGCCAGTGATGCCCTCCAACAAAATCCGAGCTAAAGCCGGCTCTCAGCTTGCTCTCTCTTTCAAAAGCCAACATCTGAAAATATTTCAGATGACAGCCCATTACTTTTTGCAGATTGTTTTCCGTGCTAGAGAGCAACTCGCTGCTCCTCTACTTCAACTGGCTCCAAGACAAAACCATAGCAGCCATATGTTCCGTTAGTCATGAGTAGCCAGTGGCATCAAGAAGCAGGAAACCACGAGGTTTTCTTATATTTTTCCTCCAAGGAATTCTGGAAAGAGAAAATGTTGTGATGTGGTGGAAACAAGTTTCAAAACTTTGTGATTTAGGAAAATTAACAGCTTTTTCTAGATGTGTTTCCTCTTCATTAAAAAAAAAAAAAAATGACAAAGGACTGGGTTCTTTAACATCTAAGAATTGGAGCATTTTATAAACATTTCATTTTATTTTCTTTTCTTAGATTAGAAAATGATTCATTTTTGGAATCTCTATCTTTGTTAAAGGTGCTTCCCATGCACTCTTAATACAGGCTGCAAGTGATTGTACCCTCTTTTGGAGGATCCTTTTGAAGTTCAGAAATGCAGAAACCACTTTTGCTATTTGGGATGGAAATTCTTGCATTTCTAGCCTGTGTGATCCTGCCTGGCCCCTTGACTAACCATTATTAAGCCTTGATATCTGTCCTGTATGTTAACCTGCTTACTTTGAAAGTTCAAATATATTTGTGTAGCCTCCCCTGATGTCTCTCAATGACGATAGTGATCTGTATACACAGAGATAAAAATGAGGGGAATCTGCAGCTCACCAACTTAAGAACACAGAATCCCACATATGGGAGAAAGTTTCAGATAGATGGTCTTGAAAGACTCAACAGGCCATGAGGATGGATTTGTCATCAGCACCTACTAAGGGTGCCCTCCTGTTCTGGGGGCATCTGGAAATTGTTATGTTGATGCAGAGAGGCCAGAGAGCTACCACAGTTGATTTCATTATGCCTGGTTCTCTTTAGTTTTACAGCTGGGCTCTGATAGTGGCCACGTTCTCAGTGGCAGTAAACTTGACTTTGGAAGACTCATCACTGATCTAGAGCTTAATTCTCCCAAAGGAGATGAGACTGCCTATCCCATCCCTAGCATGCAGAAAATGGTCATCTGGGAAGCTATCTTTAAAGTCACTGAAAATGACTACAACTGTATTGTTTTGTCATTATCACATATTACCTTTTATTAATAGTAGCATTAAACATCAATGCACTATATTGATGAATATATTGCAATAACAAGAGGAATTGATAATAAAGAACGTATTTGTGAAAGCTGTATGAAATCTGGAATTAACTGAAGAAGCCCCATAGGTTTGTTCAACCAATTTTCCAAATATAAAATGTCGTAAGTGTTAAAAATAATATTGCTTCAGAAAGAACCTTTCTAACTGGAGACCTGGAATCATCCTTGTTTCTCCTCCTAATCCTACCCAACCAGTAGAATCCTGTTCGGGTGACTCTATTTCCCCAGTGCCTTGAGTCCATCTCTGTCTGCCTGCCTGGATACAGGCTTCCCCAACCATTCCTTCTTACACCCATCTCCATTGCCTCCAGAGGAATTGTTTCAAACTACAAGTCTAACCATTCGCTGTCCTGCATGAAACCTCCAATAATTGCTCCCTATGACCTACAGGAAAAATTCAAGTTCCTCCACAGAGCATGTAACAGCCTTCATAAGATGCTCTTCTTAGGTGCAAATTTCATCTCTTTCCTGCATACACTCAATGATCCCTTCTGTAGAACCATCTTATCTGCATGTCCCCAAACACATCCTGTCTCTACATACAGTGATGTGTGCATGCCTGTCTGGCTTGTGTGCCTCTTCCTCCCCTGCCTACTGCCCCTCCCTTGAGAACTCTCTGAACAGACTTTTCATTGCTTAACCTCCAGTCAGGCATCCCCTGAATGTAGCCTTCCCTGCCTCGCCCCCAGTGAGCTAAGGGTTTTCTTTCTGGGTGTCTGCCTTTTGGGTACAGAAAGCTAGAGCATTGATGGACTTGCAATTCTCAACTCATGATGAGCTTTGAGCTTTATAAGGGCGGAAATATGTCATATTTCATTTTTGCACTTTTATGACATTGTAATTAAGTGAACAGAGTCGTCTCAAAGTTTTAAATGGTCATTTTGGCCTCTAAAAGGTTTAAAGTTCCCTTTGGTTAATACTGTAATCATGCATTTAGGAAGCTGTAGTGCAACAGTTAAAAATTCCTCATCAGTAAAAATGAGGTGGTTGGGAGGATTAAGTGAGTTAAGACTTGTTAAGTTCTCAAACACATGCTCTGATGAGAACCATGTAGTAGGCACTCAGTAAATCACAGCTGTCATTGTCATTGTTGTATTGTCCTTGTTATTAACGTGCCTGGAAGTCAGTAGTTGTTCTTCATTGATTTAACCATCTTACACCCCAGAAGAGGTAGAGATATCACCCTAATAATGAGAGGAAGTGGTAATAAAGAGCATATTTGTGAAAGCCAAATGAAATCTGGGATTAATTGAAGAAACCGCACAGATTTGTTCAACCTATGTTATCTATTCCCTATTGAATAATATTTATATACCTTACCCTAGATGTCAAAGCAGGCCCCTGATCTCATCCCAAGAGACGATTCTTGCCTTGGTTTTGATTTAATCCTTTCAGACACCCTAAGTTTCACCTCATGGATACCCTAACCGCCCATGGACTTGCCCCTTGCTTTCTTTTCTCTGGAATTTGTCTATTATATTACTACCTGGACCCCATATCTATTAATGTATATACAAATTGTTTTTCACTCCACATCTATGCATCCAAATTATTTCTCTCTTTCAAGGACCCCTTTGGAAATCATGCTGTGGTGGCTTCTAAGTTTCCAAAGACCCCTGGGTGCCCAGTGTCTGAATGTTCACTTCATTTTCTACTGTATATCTCTTGTGTAATTTATCAACTCTATGATACGTCATAGTCATTTCTTACCTCCCTTCCTAAATTGAAGTCTTGGAATGAGGAGTCAAGAAACTTATCTGTAGTCTGGTTGTACAAGTCATATAATCTCACTGAGCCTGCGATGCTTCATCTTTAAAAAATGATGTTTATTTTGGATGATTTCTAAGGTTCTCTCCATGTCTATAATGTTTGAATGTGTGAACTAATCATAAATAATACCTGCTGAGCCATGAACCAATTTACTTTCTTTTCAACCCAAACCTAGCAAATCTGTAAGAGTTTGGGCAAAATTTAAAATCTAAAATTATTGATCTAAAATAATACAAGCCTATAAAATAGTCTCTTTACCAAAACTGAACTGAACAAGTATTTCATTAAATTTGGAATTCAGTTTCAAAAGCAAAGTATACATTTTCCTGGACCGAATATATTATCTTCCCTGGAGTGTAGCAGATTTTGCTAATCTTGTTTTTAAAGAAAGGAAACTAGAACCAAAAGTTTAGGAGCGAAGGTTATCATATGATCTTGAAAAACAAAGTGGCTTTATGGGTGTCACAGATGGCCAATCACTACTATAGACAAACAAATTCAGTGCAAGCAGGATTACAGTCAGCCCCAAGAAAGAAACTCCAAACAAAGGGAAATTGCAAAGCTAAAAGGGACCTTTTGCAAAACCACAAAGCCCACTGGAACAGTGTGACCTGCCTCTGACAAGCTGTTTTTCTTCTCCGTTTTTGGAGTGTGTGCTTCACTCCTTCCTGAAATTCTTTGACTTGGTAGCACGTGGCTTTTGAACCTCATTATTCCCGGGACCTGAGTGCCTAAGAGTTTCCTGGGCAGCCTACCAGGAGGTCGGAGGAAGGTCCTCGTTAGCACTATTATGAGGCTGCTGGGAAGCCTTGGATATTGCGTGAAACAGCCAAGGTGCAGAAGTGTCGGAAATGAGGCACCTAGCTGTAGAACTGCCCAAGAGATTTGAGAAGAGCAGAGAGAAAATGAAAAATATATATACAGCCTCGGTAGTCGAATGAAATACATAAAAATATACATTTATTTATAAAATATTAGGTTGGTACAAAAGTAATCGCAGTTTTTGTCTTTTATTTATTTATTTATTTTGAGATCAAGTCTTGCTCTGTCACCAAGGCTGGAGTGCAGTGGTGCGATCTTGGTTTCTGCAACCTCCGCCTCTCAAGTTCAAGCAATTCTCATGCCTCAGCCTCCTGAGTAGCTGGGATTATAGGCACGCACCATCATGCCCATCTAATTTTTGTGTTTTCAGTAGAGACAGGGTTTTGCCATGTGGCCCAGGCTGGTCTTGAACTCCTGGGATCAAGCAATCCACCCGCCTGGGCCTCCCAGAGTGCTGGGATTACAGGCATTAGCCAACACACCCAGTCAGTTTTTGCCATTTTAATTGCAAAAATCGCAGTTACTTTTACACTAACCTAATATTTATAGACTGTGGCTATTAGTTATATTAATATACTATAAATATACTGTACATGTTTTTATAAAGTAATGTATAGAGAACTTAAATATACTATGAAGTGAGTGTTTCATTTATTATATATAAATATATAAATTATAACATATAGTATGTACATATATAACTTATGCACACATATTTTTTAGGAGATTAGAAACGATGTTTAGAGAGGCATCTAAAGATACCTTCCTGAGCATTAATATTGTTCTAACAATCAGGTAAGAAAATGTTTATAAAAGCCCTTTGTGAACTTCGTGTTTCAATACAAATAAGACACATTATCATTAACTATAAAACAGACAACTGTTTTTCAATGTAGGTATACTTCAGCCAAGGTCAAAGTCCTGAAGACACTTAAATGTTGGAAGCTGGATGATCTCATCTGATCCTCTTATGGAAGACTCTTTTCCCTCTATAAACCACTCATTCATTCAGCAGATACTTAGCACCAGCTATGAACCAGGAATGAAAGAGACAGCAGTGAACAGCCCCAAGTCCCTTTTCTCAAAACTTACATTCCAAAGTGAGAAGACAGCAAATAAATAAGTGAATAAATAAATATATAATGCCACCCAGGGTTAAAGACTCCTGAAAATAAAGGGAAGGGAAGCAGGGGATGCTAGTTTATACAAGCATGGTTGGGGACAAATTTTTCAATACACTGAGATTGGCTCTGAGACCTAGGGAAGTGGGGAGGGCTAAGGGAAGCCTTTTCTAGTGTTCAGAGGCTGGAGAGCATTTGCGGTGTCCGGGAAATGGCAAGCAGGCCAGTGAGGCTGGAAGAATGAGGTAAAAGATGCCGTCAGAGAGCCCCGGGATGCAGATCCTTGGGAGCCCTGTTAGACTCTGGATTTTACACTTGGAGTGAACGGGCGCCATCCCGAGGCTTTGCACAGGGGCAAGCTTCGAGTTCCATTTTCCAAGACGCCTCTAGCAGATAGGGGTGTGGGGAATTGGCTGTAGGAGCTAAGGGCAGGGGAGGGAGTCTGGTTCAAGGACACTTGGAGTGACCGGGCGCCATCCTGAGGCTTTGCACAGGGGCAAGCTTCCAGTTCCGTTTTCCAATATGCCTCTGGCAGACAGGGGTGTGGGGAATTGACTGTAGGAGCTAAGGGCAGGGAAGGGAGTCTGGTTCAAGGGCTACAGCAACAATCCAGATAACACAGTTGTTCTTCCTCAGCTAAAGAGGGTTGAATTGACTCGGAAGGTCTGTTCAGTTGACAGAAGGTCACCTTGCTAGACTAATATATTCACTTCCCATAGCGTTTTCAGAGCACATGCATATCTGTTCTCTCGTTGCATCCTCATTATATCTGAAATGTCGGCTCACCACCTATTCATTCCCATTGCATAAAGGACAGTTCTGAGAAGCAGCAACGTTAAGCCTCCTGCCTGAACCAGGTGTGACTCCCAACCCAGTGCTCTTTCTGCTAAACCAAGGTACATGCCCGAGCTTTGTCTTTGATACCTCACTTTGGACCAGGGAGCTTCCAAACCACGGCAGTGCAAGAACTCACTTTTACTGAGCTCCTGGAACTTTCCAGGGCCAAGGCAAGATATTTACACACATCCTCTCATTTCTCCATCCCAGCTGCCTCCCAGGGAATGTGATCCTCCCTATTTTAAGACAAAGGAAATACTCAGAAGGATTGATTTGCTAAATATCAGGCAAGTAGGGACAGATGACAGATCAGGAATTGGAAAATTGGAACCGTGGTTTTTCTGATCCAATTCCCTTAAGCCCAGATAATAGAAATAATGTAGTTAAATAATCAGATAAATATGGGGAACCCATTCTTGCTTTTCTTCTCTCAGGGACCAAGACAGGAAGGGGTAACGTCAGCCTCGGACCCAGACTTGGGCGAGGGTCAGGAATCCCCCAGGGAATCCCCGGGCGTGGCTCCCCTGCTCGCAGGTTGCTCTGAGCCTGTGTTCTGTCTCTTTGTGCAGGGTGCTCCAAAGTGACCTGCATCAGCTTGACCCGGGAGGCCTCCATTAAACTGTCCCCCTTACATGGCAAACAGATATCCATCCGCTACCTGGACATGACGGACTGCTTCGTGCTGGAGGACGAAGGCCTGCACACCATCGCGGCACACTGCACGCAGCTCACCCACCTCTACCTGCGCCGCTGCGTCCGCCTGACCGACGAGGGACTGCGCTACCTGGTGATCTACTGCGCCTCTATCAAGGAGCTGAGCGTCAGCGACTGCCGCTTCGTCAGCGACTTCGGCCTGCGGGAGATCGCCAAACTGGAGTCCCGCCTGCGGTACCTGAGCATCGCGCACTGCGGCCGGGTCACAGACGTGGGCATCCGCTACGTGGCCAAGTACTGCAGCAAGCTGCGCTACCTCAACGCGAGGGGCTGCGAGGGCATCACGGACCACGGCGTGGAGTACCTCGCCAAGAACTGCACCAAACTCAAGTCCCTGGATATCGGCAAATGCCCTTTGGTATCCGACACGGGCCTGGAGTGCCTGGCCCTGAACTGCTTCAACCTCAAGCGGCTCAGCCTCAAGTCCTGCGAGAGCATCACCGGCCAGGGCTTGCAGATCGTGGCCGCCAACTGCTTTGACCTCCAGACGCTGAATGTCCAGGACTGCGAGGTCTCCGTGGAGGCCCTGCGCTTTGTCAAACGCCACTGCAAGCGCTGTGTCATCGAGCACACCAACCCGGCTTTCTTCTGAAGGGACAGAGTTCATCCGGCGTTGTATTCACACAAACCTGAACAAAGCAAATGTTTTTTAAAAGCAGCTTATGTAAGCACCGACACCGACTCATAACAGCTCTTTCTTCCAGGAAGGTTATTAGGAATCTGGCCTTTATTTTTCCTCATTTCTCATGGGCAACAGAGGCCAAAGAAACGAAGCAAGGCAAACAGCGAACAGGCATTTTGGTCAGGTCATTTGTAGGAAGTTTCTCTTCTCACGAAAGATGTACTTCAGCAGGCTGATCGCAGTTCCTTGAGCAAGGCGCTTACTCTCCGCCGCTCAGGCCCCCGAGGCCGCCTTGTCCCTCACACACAGGCCACACCCCCACAGTTCCACACCCCCGCTCTAAGGCCACACCCTCCCTTCCTAGAGCAGCAGCCAGGACCCATCATCAGAATCACAGTGCTCTCCAGACCTCCTTTCTAAACTGCTTCATTGACCTAAGTCACCCTCTTCAATCCCACAACCATGGGCATTCTGGTCAACTCAATATCATAGCACTTTGCATACGCAAAATACTTTTCAGGTCTTTTTAAAAAATTCATTACAGCAAACAGTTGGGGAAAGACATGCAGTCTTCCCCCAGCTCTGCCAATGACTGTGACTTTGGCCAAAGCAATTCACTGCTCTGGGCTGCAGCTTCCAGCACCGAGTCAGAGGCCACACAGCCCAAAGATTAGCTTCATGTCCATTATAGCACTGAGGGAACAGAGACACCCATACACAGAACCGCCTTGGCATAGAAGCACCTAGGCATCTTCCTCTTCCAGGAGAATTGATTCTGTGGATGGGCGTGATTTCAGGAGATTGTGCAGGGCCAGCATCAGTGCACAAAGGGTCCTGTATGTCCTTTGGCTACAAATCACCCACTTCCCTGTGTGTTTCAGTGGGAGAATTTCCTCTCCCACCTCTTCACATCCTCTTTTGCCAGGCTGGATGGTGTCGTTTCTATACACAAATACTTTCTGCATTCCCCCCTCCACAGCATCCTAGCCAGGCACCAGCACGCCTAATCACAGCAAAGCCCAGATCCCCCCTCAGTTGCTTTTACTCAGCGTTTTCAAATAGGAGTAAAGGCCCTCACAATTTCTAATTAACAAGCAAGGCCCAAGGGAACACATATCTTCAAAAGTTTTTCTAATCCCTCACCTTGCACACCTGGCATGCTTCAGGCACATCTGTCCTACAGCTGGCAGAGACAGATGCCTCGGTTCTTTGTCATTCAGATTGCATTTGGCCTCTTCTCATCTATTTATTTCTTTATACATCCAGACTTCATCACATGAAGCCTATTGGGGTTAAGTTTGTAAGTGTTTAATTGTGCAACTTGCCACCCTGTGTGCCTCCTCCGTGGCTGGCTGCGTGTTTTCCATCAAAGAATGCAAAGCAGACTTCCAGGTGTTTAAATTCTGTTCACTCAAAAATGCCAGATGAATGGAAGAGGGAACACACTGAGATGACTTAGACTCTGGTCCACCAACCAGACCCTTGGAATGGAATATTAAAATCATTACAAGGTATGAATTTTAAATGGATGAAATTTCAAATTATCTTATTTGGATAGAAGTCTATATTCTAGCCTCGTTTGCCTGAAGTCAGATAGCCAGAAGAAATTTCATTGCTCGTTTTCACGAAATTCACTTGTCTTTTGTTAATTAACACAGGGCCTTTCCCAAATTATTCTCTAGCCAAGCCCCACCTTCATTACTATTGAAATCCCTCATTTATTTCCTTCTCAAAGTACCCGTTATCCAAACGCAGAACCTTTGCATCTCCAAGCCAGTTATGCTGAATTTGTCAAACTTAGACACCCTTGACAACTGCACTCCTACTGTAGGCTCCTGTGCGTACTGGCGTCTTCTGTGGGGGATGGAGAGGTTAGTGTGATGAGGTGGCGTCTGCCCAGGAGGTTTCTTTCATACATCATGGCCTCCCATCCAGTTAACATCATCAACTTACATGTGTAATTAAGGCTCTGTGCCATGGGGGAAATGAGTCATTTAGCTAGGCCAGGATCTAGTGACAGCCACAGAGTTTAGAACCATGAAAGAAGTTGAAGGTAGCATTCTTCAGCTCTGTGACTTGTGACCCTATTTGAAGTTTCAGGATTTGGGTGTCACAAAGGATTGTCCCTAATCCTTGGCCCTGGGGTTTTCCGAGTGAGCTAGTTTAATACTCCAAGAATGAGCAGGCAGATCCAGGTAATGAACCCCTGACCACATCGCCTAAACTGTCTTCCAAGCATGAGACAAAGTTGACTGTTCACACTGATTGCCCAACACATACCGTCTTGCCAGTTTCTCCTTTTCTCCCAGTCTCCTCTTCATGCATTCTGTTCTCCCTTGGGGTGGGAATCTATGGTGGAGGTTACTGGGGAAAGAGCTCAGCAGATTTTTAGAGACCAAACCAAAGGCCTCACTGGGAAATTTATCTGTTTTAAAACATTGCTTCCTTCCTGGCTCTGCTAAATTGAATGCTCATTGTTTTTTTGTTTTTTTATTTTTTTGTTTTTAAATTCTAATGTTCAAATCACTGCGTGCTGTATGAATCTAGAAAGCCTTAAATTACTACCACCAAGAAATAAAGCAATATGTTCTTAATCAGCCTCGGCTTCGTTTTTAATAACCTTGCCAGAGGAGAGTGCTGTTTGGTTGGGGGGTACTCAAAAGTATGCAGAAAACTTTCTTTGAAGGACAGAGCAAGCCAGGTCATTGCCACTGTTGCCTGCTTGAAGATACATCGATGGTTTTCTCATCTCCTTTGGACCAATGATTTTGGCTTAAAATTGGCAGGTAAGTGAAAAAATATTACTTTCACGGTATAGTTCGGGTCTTCAGTTCCTTAACCCAAACCCTGTGAGACTCTGTCTCCAAAAAATACAAAATTTATCTATGGTGGATTTTGTAATACCTACCTCAGCCACTGGGACATCACCCTTAACCAGTCATATTAATATTTCTTCAGCAATAGATCTGAATAGTCACATGACATGAGATTATTATAGACTATAAATAGCCTTGCATCAATTGAGATCCGGTTTTGTCAGGAAATTCATTTATACCATAAATAACAAAAAAAACTTCTATTTTGTTCAGAGCTGGGATTTCAGAATTATGAATAGCTAAGGACATGAATAGATTTACCTTGGCACTGGTTACAAACATTGGAGGAAACTTCAAAATTATGCTGACCATTCCTTGTTATAATTTTTTTAAGTGTCTTAGAGTACTATTAGATCGGTGCAAAAGTAATTATTTTTGCCATTACTTTTAACAGCAAAATTGCAATTGCTTTTGCACCATCCTAACAGAACCTGAAAGGAGAAGATGGAAACCTGATCTAAGTCAGTTAGAAAAAGTGAAATGCCAAATCCCTTCTTCCCCACCCAAACCTTTCCACCTGAGAAATCAGTATGGCAAAAAGCAAGTACTGATAGATGAATGAAAAACTTCATTCTTAGCAAGTAAAAAGGTGTTAAGAGATACTAATTTTAACTGTATTTGTCTTTGACCTTCTCATCCTGTGTTAGCTGCTTAAACAACTCTCACATAAACCAATAGGACCCTTAAATACCTTGCAACATTAATTTGAGGATGCCCCATGCCATTCTTGTCAAGATCCTGGAATAAGTCTAGAAGTAACTAAAATGCATTCACCCTTGAGGTTCATGACTTCTTAAATTGACATTTGTTCAGACTTCATTAGAAAAAGTTTTCAGGAAGCTTGATATCTAGAGCATACAAAATGAAAAGAAAGGATTGAGTATTTTCAAGGGAAAAGTAATATAATAAAAGTGCTTATTGTATCTAAATTATCAGAAGGAAGTCACCAAAAGTAGTGCATTTGTTCAATAGCTGGCAATCATGATTAGAGAGAAGCTACTTGGAAGAAATGCTAAATAGACAGTGGAACAGGGAGAAAGAATATTGAAAGACTAGGTAAATGTTGCAGTGAGAAGGTTCACGCTGAAAATCTGTAACACAAAATTAGTTTTTATCTTGCTTTTCTGCTTTTTGGTCTTTACACCAGAAGCCGTCCTTCGGCAGCAGGGAGGGGTGTGGGGGTAGGAGGAGTGCCCGTCATCATTTGTCCACAGTCGATGTCCATGCTATCACCAAGACTTGCCTAAACACAGCTCCACTTTGTTAAAGAGCAACTCGGGCAAGTCTCATTCAGATGACCACCAGGTGGGCAAAAGACATTTACCCAAAATAAGAAATACTCTCATAGACACTTGGACTGGGGGCACCACATCCAGGAATCACCCAGGATATGATTATTCCTCCTTTTTGCTTTGACAGCATCATTATCTCCTAAAGTCACAGGTCCATCTTGTAGGATCCTTTTTACCCTCTCAAGTTAGTAGATCAGTTTGCATTTTAAACCACACAGGATGCAAAAACATCTCCATTTGGGAACAGGACAAGGCACTATCCCTGCATGTCAACAGAACAGTTGTGGCATCTCCTGCAGAGCTGTCACAGGAAGTGCCTGCATCTCAGATGCTGATCACATAGACTACTCAGGAAGGCAGCCTTCGAGCTCTAGATTATTACTCAAGTATAAGCAATCAGCATCATCCAGGTGTCACAGGAAAGCCTTGAAGGGTCATTTTTAAAAATTCTTGACCTAAATATTTCCAAACCAGTCATTTCTGTGTTGTGGAATGTTTGTCTTTGCAGCCCTTCAACCACTGTATTTTACTCTGATGAGATCAGTATATCCAAATTTTATCCTGCCCCATGTGATGATCAACATATGATTGTGACTAGAAGTGGCAACATTCTTCACATACAAAGGATGCCCAAGAAGTACCAATTATGTTTTTAAAAACCTTTAACAGGCCAGGTGCAGTGGCTCACGCCTGTAATCCCAGCACTTTGGGAGGCTGAGGCAGGCAGATCACGAGTTCAAGAGATTGAGACCATCCTGGCCAATGTTGTGAAACCTCATCTCTACTAAAAATACAAAAAATCACCTGGGCGTGGTGGCGTGCACCTGTAGTCCCAGCTACTTGGGAGGCTGAGGCAGGAGAATCACTTGAACTTGAGAAGCAGAGGTTGCAGTGAGCCGAGTTCGCGCCACTGCACTCCAGCCTGGCAAAAGAGCGAGACTCCATCAAAAAAAAAAAAAAAAAAAAAAACCTTTAACAATGATTTATTGACCATTTACTCTATGCCAAGTTTTATGACAAGTTCTGAGTGAACAAATACAATATCCTTACCCCAAAGAAACTCTAATCAAATAAGAGTAATGTTATATAGTAAGGTAGGATGGAAGAGTGGAATATAAAAAAGAATATGACAGCATTCATTCATTCATCCAACAAGTATTTATTATTAATAACTTAAGAGATGGCAGATACTGTTTCATCACTGGGAGTTCTACCCTGATGGAACTTACTAAAGAAATAATGTCCAGCACATTATTGGGAGAGAAGAACAAGGCTTAGGCTCACCTCTTAGAGAAGACCCTTGAGCAGGGTTATATAAACTCAGACAAGGTGGGCTTGGAGGAATGATGCTCTTTAACATCCAAAACAGTACATGGAACCCACTCAGGGAAAAAAAATATTTAATAAGGTTAGTGAAATAATGTATCTCTACTGTTTAATATTATCAAAACATTAACTATACTAACTATAGGTTAACATGGTCATTGCTTTAGGTTGGTCATGTGGAAACATGGCAAGTTCTTTTGTTCTAGTGTCTTCACAGATTTTTTTTTTTTTTTTTTTTTTTTGTGACAGGGTCTCACTCTGTTGTCCAGGCTAGAGGGCAGTGGCACAATCACAGCTCACACAGCCTCTACCTCCTAGGCTCAAGTAATCCTCCTGCCTCAGCCTCTTGAGTAGCTAGGGCCACCAACACTTGCCACCACACCAGGTTAATTTTCTTTTTTTTTTTTTTCTTTTTTTTTTGGTAGCGTCAGAGTCTCCTCATGTTACCCAGGCTAGTCTCAAACTGCTGGGCTCAAGCCATCTCCCCATCTTGACTTCCCAAAGTGCTGATTTAAAGTGTGAGGCACCCTGCCCAGCATTCCCAAAGATTAATCCCTGTGTGTACATACATGCATAGACACGTACCGTGTACATGTGTGTGTGTACATGAACTGGCAGTCATGACTCTGCAGAATCTTGCTCAAAGCGAAATGTATAGGAACTCCCTCCCTCAATAATCTTGGGATTTTCCAGCCCACATGGGTACTCTTTGACGTCACTCTAATTGCTACACATCTGTAACGGGAATGATCAGAATAACTGAGATTTCTGAATTTACCATGTTCCTTTACTAAAAACTAGACTATGTCAAGAATTTTCAAAATACACTGTGGCTCAAGTCAGATTAATTAAATAGCCTTTAAAAATTGCCAAGAAATGAATTTTACTTGCCAACTCACTGAGGAAAAGTTCTTTGAAACCTCAAATTCCATCAGGGTTATGAATGTGAAAGTATCTGTCCACAGTAATAATAAACTAAACAGTAACAGCCATTAGGAAGTGAGAGAGAAGGAGAGAGGAAGGCTTTTAAATCCCATTCTCTGCAGTCAAAGCTGACAGTCCTTGTGACTTTTCAGGGCCCCAAGAGTCTCCCAGAATCTGAGTAAGCTCATTAAGCCCATTTCCAGAGAGACATGCAAAAGATACAGGAGAGAGGATTCCTAATTACAAAGATTAGCCAATAATTGGTTCTTCCTTTTTCTCCAGTCTTCTTCCAACCACTAATGAACACAGCCACCCTCTATAAATAAAGCTTTTTAAAAATACAGGTTTTACATCATGAATGTATTCTTCATGGGCATTTACATTTAAAATTTAAACAAATTTACCAAGGCCCTTTTCATTTATGAGAAAGTAGATAATGGGAGAAAACTTTCATGACTGACGAATAGCCTTCTCTATTTCTTCTCAAAGCCTTTCTTTTGGAGATGGAGACCAAGTAGATATAATTACCTTGGTACAATTTTACATTTTCCACACTTCCAGAGTAACTACACAAATGCCCCAGATTTCAACTGTACAATTCCTCATTTCGCAATCTCACCCCTTAACAATAGGCAGATGTTGGTTTTTCATACTCCACTGCCACTTAGCAAAGTCCCTGAAGACATCATTTTGCCCAGCAAATCCTTGCTTAAGTAGAAGAACTAGAGAGGAAGAATTCAGACTATTTCTCTCGTTCTCTTTACAACCACACAGGCAAATACGTGATTTATGAAATGGTGGATCTGTGTGAATGGTGCCCAGGCAACAGATCTTTCCATTAGCTAGTCAGGGATATGGGAGCCCGGTTGGCTCTTCTCTACTTTCCTAATTTTTAAACACCCAAAGAATAATGACCATGGATGTGCTAGAGGGCTAGAGATCAAGAAGTTGTAGACTTAAAGAAAAAAAAAAAAAAAAAACGAGAGAAAAAGAAACATTCAAGTAATGACCTCTCACTCACATAATGAGAAACAGAATCTCCTCCGGATTTCCAAGCTGGCATTGTTTCCCTGGTACCTTCGCCTGGGGGCTCCTGTGTGTAATGTTTCTTTTAAAAATATCACATGCAGGAAGGCAATGAGAAATACAAACACTGCCACGGGAGAGCATTAATCTCCT